GGCTGGGGCTAAGCTGTGAGGTTTGGTAGTTTAGATGGATTCAATGCATTTTTTACTTATATTTTCTTTGCATGGATCGATCAGGATTGTACTGGTCACTTTCCTCATTGCTGGGGCAAAATACCTGATACCTGCAACCTAAAGGAGGAAAAGTTTATTTGGCTTACGATTTCAGGGGTTTCAGTCCATGGCCAGCCGGCTCAATGGTAGGAGAGCATGATGGAGGAAAACTGCTCAAATCCTAGGACATGGGAGGCGGAGAACAAGGGAAGCTCAAGCAGAAGGTGCCTGGGACCAGATATAATCCCCAAGGTTGCATCCCCATAACCCACTTCTTCTGTCCTCACCTAATAGCCCATTCGGGGATCATGCTACTGAGCAGATGAAGGTCCTAATGAGCTTTCCAGTTCTCTTAATGCAGTGAAGTTGACACTCCAGATTAACTGGCACAAGGCTGTAAGCCCACAGGAAATTGAGAAGCATCTGAATATGCTTTGCAGTCTCACCATTTATGTTTAGAATCTGGCTCGGCCAAGTTCAAGCTATGCAAGCTGTAAGGGCTCTGAGTGCCTCCTGTTTTCCATTCACTGTACTACACTTCATGATATCTGTTTCAGAGCACAGTCCTCAGGTTCATCTGAGAAAACAGGTGAAGCACTTTAAACAGTGCTTGGCACATAGCAGGTGCTAAGTATCAGTACTCAGTATTATTTTCTCCAGGGGAAATTGTACCTCAAAACAACTCCTTTAACTTCCTCACTCATGGAGGATTGAGAGGCATCAAGCATTTGTCTCTAGGTCTAAAAGAAAGGTCTTCTTCCTTCTATTTCCCTGTCATAGTACACAGTAGCTAAATGTAGGCTGATTTTTCAAGAATTAATAGAGTTGACCAGGAAAATGGGAAATGTCCCTGAGAAATCACAGGCTAGTCATGTCCCCAGGGCACCGTTATGTTTGTGTCTGAGCAACCCTGGATGAAGAGATGGGGCTTTGGGTCAGAATCGTGGTCTCTGGAGCCTCAGTTTTTTTCCACCTCTCCAATAGGTACAATCTTATGACTTACATAACACACATGGGCGGTATACACAACAGCACTTACAGGAGCACGATCCATTCCATAGGTCAAAACGATGCCTGTATTCATTCCTCATTTGATGCTGTTTGGTTCTGAAGCAATCATTTCTCAAACCCCATGAAGGAAAGTGACTGAAATTACCTCTCTGTGACAGCCAGCATCTGGCAGACGAAAGATATTTTCAACTGCAATGTACTGCCGTGGCTGTCTGCGGTGACTGACAACCTTAAACCGCCACAATTCAAACACATGACAGCTAGTCTGAGACGTGTCTTTAGAAGTCCTGAAGCAGAGGGAAAATGAAAATCGCTCCCTTGCACTGGTGTAACTTTCCTCCCCAATGGTCCCGAGCACCACTCCTGTCAGGGCGATCGGAAAGGCGCTTACGGAAAGCAGGGCCGGGGCCAGGTCCTGTTTCTCCATAAAATGTCCCGGGTGTAAAGTTAGTTGTGGGCCTCTTACACTAGCCACTCTGACCGACACTGTCATTAGGAAAGAATTTAGTGGCCTCACATTAATATAAAGTAATGGTTTCTGGAGGATTTCTGTGCAGCAAATAATAAGTTTAAACAGCCTCCTGAGAAGCCTGAATAACGTGCGCTCTGTAAAGCACCCGAGGGCCTCTCTGCCCGCCATCCCCAAGACAGAAGCATTGGTAAAGGGTGCTGAGCTCGTTTCTTTTCTCTGGAAATGCAAGCTCCACTCCTTGTGTTTGAATTTGTCCTCTTATTTCCCCCAAATCTATGAGTGATTCTTTCATTCTTATCTCATCGCACATCTTTCTACATGCAAGGAAGAAAATAGAAATAAACTGATAGGGATTTATTTTGATGGATGCACCTATGGTAGCAAAAAAAAAAAAAAAATGCTTGCCATGAAATATGAAGATCACACCCGGAAATGTGGCAGGAACATTTCTGTGGGGATTTAAAATATTAGTTAATTATTTTCTGAATACTAAAGTATTTTGTGTTCTATACCAATAGATAAACACAAATACACATTCAGACATGTCGATGTGCCTGACACAAAATTTACTATTTTAAACTGGGTATGGTGGCTCACAACTGTAATCCCAATGCAGGGAGGCTGAAGCAGGAGGATTCCAAGTTGGAGCCTAGCCTGGCCAACTTAGCAAGACCCTGTCCCAAAATGAAAAAATTAAAAGGCTAGTGATGTAGCTCAGTGCAAAGTCCTTAGTGGCCCCCAAATTACCATTTTTAAATTGGCCAATTTTAGGTCCTGAGGCTTTGAACACATGTACGCTGTTGTGCAAGTACCGCCACTATCTTCCCCAGGCCCATCTCACTGCCCATGAAATGGCCTTCCCTGTTACCGAAGCAGGCAGACGGCAAGCTGAAGGTCACAATGGCACACCGAAATAAGCAGGCAGTTCCCTTGGAGGGTGCCTTTGTGGTTTACGTGCACCTGGGAAGTTGAGGCAGCACAGCAGGGATCTGGGGACCCAAAGGGGACAGGGAGCTCAGAGGAGCCCCCACCCTGCAGAGGCTGCGCGGTCTCCTATGGTCTGCATCTGGTGCAGCAACCTTGAGAAGAAGGGCAGCTCTGTGATCCTAGTGGTGTTAGCAGCTTCCTTTGGTTTCCTCCAAGTTGGCTGTTTCTGTTTTCTGTTGCTGTAACAAAATATCCGAGACCAGTAACTTCTAAGAAATAGGCATTCATTGGGTAGCAGTTCTGGAGACTGAGACATCTGAGATCGTGGTGCTGGCATCCGCCCAGCGTCTGATGATGGTCTGATGAGAAGGGGGAGTTTGCTTTTACCACCGACCACTTCCTCAATAACCATGACCCATAAACCCACTAATCCATTATGGATTAATCCATACACGGGGCAGAACTGTCAGGACCCAGTCACAGCCCAGCACCCCACTGTGAATACCGTCACCTGATTTGGAGGTTGTTTCTAACCTAAAGTTGGGGGAACACTTCCAGATGTATCATCGACCCCTTTATCAGTCCCTCTTGGGAATAAGAGAGCCCATGTATGGTTCACATACTGGCCCTTAAAATGAATCATCTAATATTTTAGCTCTTGTCATATTATCCGGAAGAAATGATCTTTGAGCCAAGGGAAAGGTGTTTCCCACTCCTAGCTTGGTGAGGCTTCCCCATTGCAAATGCAAGTGCCCTTCCCAACATAACCAGCCTGCCCATAGAGGCAATTTGGTCAGAGCCAGAAGAAAAAGAGTGAAGCCAGCAGCATATGGGAGAGGGCATCTCATGGAGGAGGAGGCAGCAGTGAGACACTGGTCCCAGGGCAGGTTGGACACAAAGAATGAGGTGCCAGGGGCTTTGGCTTGCTGTTTCCTGCCGTAGGCCTGGAGCAGGGGCCGGGTGCCATAGGAGGCTGCCCAGCTGCCATGGCACATGTGTGGCCTTGCCACACAGGAAGGCATGAGGCCAGGGTGTGGTATCACTGGGAGTTAAAGACATTTAGAAATTATTTTCTGCAACACAAGTCTAGTGTTTCATGTTTTTACGATCTGGATTCGTCTTGGGAGCCTGGTAGGGTTAGTGAACTCCCAGAGGGACACTGTGTGTGGAAATTGTGGTCAGCAGTCAGAATGCTCACACATCAGCTGTCCCCTTGGGGATCGCTGGCCCCAGGCATTGTGAAACATCTTTGGGGGTGCTCAGCCAGTGAGGAGAGACTGCAGGAGTGAGAAGGAGACAGGAAGAAGGATTCATGGAGCATTAATGGGCCCCATACGAGGCAATGATGAAGAGCCTACTGTGCACAGGCATTCTCTGTACTGTAAGGTCTCCACCTTGGGTACCACAAGGAGGTCCAGAAGGAGGTCGCATACCCTGCACCAAGACACACAGCTTGCATGGTGCCTAAGCACTGGTCGTCTTGACTTCCTACACCACAATCTTTCAATCCCATGGTATTTCAAAGAAAGTTCACACTCTCTGAGTACTTGGGGTTAAAGGAAGGTTGCTAATGATAAAGATTTTTATTTTAGATGATTTCAAGAAGAAATGGACATTAAGAAAGCTGTAGAGTTTTTCTGAAAGTTGTGGCAGTAACAATGGCTTGAATTCATTAGTAGTAAAGTGATAGATTTTATGTGTGATTCTCATTAATTCCATTAACATGGAATTTTAAAAATCTACCCTTTGAAGCCAGATACTAATAATCTCATTTTATAGATCTAGACATTAAGATCAAAGAGATAAGTAAACTTGGTGTCATGGCCCATGCCTGCCATCCCAAGCTACTTAGGAGGCTGAGACAGGAAGACGGCTTGAGCCTGGGAATTTGAGGCCAGGCTGGGCAATGCAGTGAGACCCTGTCTCTAAATGAAGAAAGACCTAACTCTAGAACAAGATGAGTTCTTTCTACAACAACCCAGGGTGAGTAAATCAGTGTAAAGTACTGTAAGTACATAGAGTGATCAAAAGGTAACCATCAGTACTTAAATTAGACTTTTGTTTTCCTGAAAATTTAAAAAAAATTGTTTGGACTTACAATTATTCCCCAATAAACAGATTTCAAAATCCCTCTTTCCAGAGTCAAGTCTGTGAGAACAGTGGATCTTCTGAATCATTTTTCCAATGTTAAATATATAATATACAATTTCTCCAATTGATCACTGGGGAGAAGAATAGTTTTTAAAAAGTTAGAAGATATAATCAAGGCTGCAGAAAACTCCTTTTATGGGAAATGAAATTGTTAGGTCTTATACTATCCAATAAATACCATAGTTGCCTTTCAGTCATTTTTCTCTTGAGCAGCTTGTGCCGAGTGAGCTGCGAGGTTAGAACAATCTCCAAAGGGAGTGTAGCTCCACACCTTGCTGGAATTTAGCAGTGTTCTGTGGAAGAGATCAGCACCGTGTAGCTTTTACTGAACTGAGGAACCCGGATTCCTGGTTCCCAATCAGAAAGGCAGAAAACGAGTTTTATGTGTGAGATCCGGAGTCAGATAGATTTCCCAGAAGATTCGCAAGGCCTGCGGGAGTCATAACGGAGCCCACGCCCGGCAGGGAGGAGGGGTGTTAGAGACGGATTGATAACAGTGAGACGAGTCCAGATGTTTTTATTACTTTCCACTTTGCTCCCAGCATTGGGATTGCAAATAGAGACACTAGTAATCCGGGTATGCGTGTCTGTAGCCTCCGAGGGGTTATGGGACTCATCTTCTACCTCTGGCCCGGGCCCTGCTCTGAGCCTCAGGCCTGTGTATCCCAGAGCCCACTTCCCGTGTCCTTGGGGATATCACAGAACAACTCGATTTCCACCTGTCCAGACTACGCTTGGTTTCCCCTTGAAGCCCGAGGCCGGCTCTGCTCATTATCCTGAAGGACGTGACCACCAGCAGCCATACGGGTAGAGGTGAGTAATTCTCTCCACTCCCCCAACCCCTTCCCTTCTAATTCCTTTGCACCCTTCCTCTCTTCTTCTTCACCCCTCCATGTCTTCCTTCCTCCCTCCTCTCCCTTCTCATTCTTCTCTTTCTGCCTCACTCCCTCCTTTCCCCTCCTCACCCCAAATCTACTGCATCATCACTCCCACCTGGTCCAGACCTTCATCCTTTTCTGGGGCTCACAGCACAGGCTTCACTCTTTTCACCCAAACCTTCTGGTGTTCATTCCAGATGAGTTCCCCTGCTGCAGCCAGAAGGAACAAAGCTTAAAACACATCAGTAGACAGTCATAATCACTTCATGATGTACATGTATACCAAAATATCGTATTGCATACCCTATACTTAACAGTTTCTGTTTGTCAGTTAATCCTCAGTAAAACACCACACACACACACACACACACACACACACACACACACACACACACACACATCAGTGGCTTTCTATGTCATCAGGGCAACATGTTGTTTGTGTGGCTCCAGACACTGGCATGGTGGGCACTGACATCTCTCAGAAATGTCCACCATGCTCCCACACATATGGCGAGGGCCCTTTCTATATCTGTCCCTCTGCATGGACAGTTATTTCCTCCAAGTTTTTCCTAATTATCTCACACCACCTTTCCTTGGCCTGCGGACCTCAGTGGGGTTGGGTCCTCTCCTGACTTCCTACTGGGTTAAGTCCAGGGTAGAAGACAGCAGAGTTCCTTATACCCTTACTTTGATGCTTTTCTGCAATTGTAATTTAGCTCACATTTGTGTTATTATGGAATGACTCTCTCTCCTGCCCTCTGAACTGTGAGCCCCACACAGGCAGAAATGGTTTCTGGTTTTGATCTCTTTAGTCTTAAATTGAAAGAATAAATAAAAGTGAAATCACAACTGAGTCAGAAATTGTAAATGGTGTTTCTGAGACCACCATGCCTATGAAAATCTGAACTGACCTTCAGTTCCTCAGCCTATGTAAGTCCCTCTTGCTTAGTCCTTGTGGTTTGCCTGAATTAAGATAAGAAATAGGCAAATAATTGTGCTAAGAATATCCTGGAAGTGCAAACCTAAAAGATTATGTTAAAAAGTCACTGTGGTGAATGGATCTGTAACAGCATTGATAAAATTTGATTCTGCAGAAATGAACTTGGAAAATCCCTAAGTATTATGATTTGAATCTGAAATGTCTCCCAAAAGTTCCTGGGTGAAAGGCTCTGTCCTCTAAGCAGCAATATTCTGAGGAGGGGCTTTGGAAGATGAGTGGGTCCTGAGGCTCTCACCCCATCACTGGATTAACCCACTGCTCTGTCCGCTGCTTACCCGACTGCACAGAGGTCGGGGAGGCTCTCGGGTGGAACTCCATAGGGGAAGTAGTAGGTTCCACAGTGCCAGAAGGGTGTGCTTCGTCCCTGGCCTTTTTCCTCTCTGGTTCTCTTTCTCTATCTTTCCATTTTCTGGAGGCCATAAGACAAACGGCTTTGCTTCACCAGAGCTCTCTGCCATGGTGTTTGACATCACAGGCCCAGAAACAATGGGGCAAGGTGACTGTGGAGTGAAACTGTTAACCTAAATAAGTTTTTCTCTGTAAGTTGATTTTCGCATTATTTTGTCACAGCAAAAGAAACCTAAAGCTCCAGACCTCACAATTTTCCTTTCTTCATAAGGTAAAGAGAAGAATGTGTTCTGCATATTATAAATTCCTAGTGATTTGGCATCTTTCTTACTTTTTTTGTTATCCTGTTTTTTGTTTGTTTTTTTTTTTTGCTGTCTCTGTACAATTAAAGTTTGCTTTGGAGCTCTCCAAGAGAAAGAATTCCCACAAATCTGGGGAAGACACATTTGAGAAGAGCTGTGAAAAAGATGAAGCTCTGAAATATCTTGTAATCCAAGGTAATTCAACCCATGCCATCACAACTGGCTCTTTGGAATTTCTGTTACTTTTCACCAAAGATATTCATGTCATGCTCCTGAGATTTTGACAGAAGTCAGTAAATTAATCCGACAGATCAGCTGGCCTATGGTTTCCTCAGCCTGGTGGAGAAGGAAGTTAACCTCTATCCAGAGACAGTCATTAAGTGCAAGTTTGAGTGGTGGGCACAGCTCCTTGATTTGTGAGTATATACTGGTGCTTTGTACTCTGTATCTGCGTTAAAATTCTTAAGTTACACAGAATTTCCAAAGGCAGTGGAAATGAGAAGCGATTACACGTCTGCAGGGATTTGGGTGATGCTGTACATCAGCCCCTCTGGCTCCAAGGACTGACCTGACATCGTGGCCTTTGGATTTGCAGAACATAACTCAGTTTCTGCCTTGGGTTCATCTACGTGTCTTCTTCCCAAAAGAGCATGAAGAACATCCTGAGAGTTTTCAGATTACAGTTTATTAAAATTCCTAAATCATTTTGAAAAGGGAAATGTGACCTGAGTAAAACAATTTTTTGAATATCCATTAGAACAAAACCTGGTGTTTTATACCAAACAATTAATTGTGAATTGGACTGCAAAAAAGTCATGGGGGATCATTTTGAGCTTCCATTGACTTGAAGTCACATACCCATCGCCATATAATAATGTGTATATTATGCTTAAGAAGCATGTCTGTGCGTTCCCCGTGTAATATAATAGTAAGAAACTTGAGGCCAGCTGAAGCAGAAGTTTCAACAATTTTCCTGTGAATTAGGATCATTCTGAATTAGCAGCTTGGTTAGACAGCCAATCTGGAGAATTGAGACCCAAAGTGGTGTCTTAGGTCTGATTTATTTGCTTTGGCTGTCTAGATAGTTCTGAGTCACTAGGCAATGGCTCACGGAACAAATGGGGAACTGGCCTTCATGTGCACATGTCCCTCTCTGAGCAACAGTTTAAATGTGAGCAGCTAAGACTGCCTTTCCTGTGACTGAAGGGTACCTTCAGAAGGCCCAACATCTGCCTCTTCACTCTTGCAATCAGATAGCAATGGGAACTGCATGAGCCCTGGAAAGCCCCTGGTGGCAATTGTGGGATGAAATGTTTTAATTGACAAAAGAGCCCCCTGGCTAAATTCTCATCTTTGTAGAACTTGTCAGGAGTGTTCAGTTTCAAGCCAAAAAGCTGTCAGAATGAAGGCCAATCATTAATGACAGAAAGATTAGGAGAGCAGAGATCAGCTGGCTCCTCAACAGCACATAATGAGGCAAAATGCTGGGGAGTCAACTAAGGGCAGTTGACCCCTGGCCAAGATGTAATAGGAGGGGACCTCAGTATCAAATACCCACCACCTCAGGCTGGCATTGCAAACACACAGAGCAACAATTTGCAAATATGATACTCCAGTGTGTTCCTACTCAATTTTTTTCTTTCTTGTGTACTTATGTTGTTTCAAATACTAGAGAAGATGGAGGATAAAAAAATGCACATGGCTGGGGTAGGGGTGTGGCTCAGTGGTAGAGTGCTGGACTAGCATACACAAGGCCCTGGGTTCATCCCCCAGGACCACCTCCCCGTAAAAGAAAATAGCTGTTCAAGATATGCATTGTATCTCATATATTTGTATGCAGCCATGAGCGAGTGACATTTGGGTCAGTGAATGACTGCCTGTCCAACTGTACCATATAACCCACCTGTGGAACAGGCTGTACTGTCTCGGTTTGTGGGGACTCTGTGATGCTGGTACAATGATGAGATCGCAGTGACACATTTGTCAGAATGTATCCGCACATGCCCATGTGCTTGCACCATGCTGAGCTTGGCTTCTCACACTTGAGAGCTGACATGCTGGCTGCATAGATATCTGAGGATCTCAGCTCTGGGGCCACAAAATTTCAAGTCAGGGCTCCAGTGACAGATAGAATGATTAAATGGAGGTGTAACTGTGTGGTGGGACATGCCTCAAGAAATTGGTCATCAAGAAATTGTGCTTTGTATCTCTATATTTACACAATGTTAGATGGTATAGGTAGTGCACCAAGGGCCAGTGACAGGTACACACAGGTACATCCCCCATATATCTCACACCGTATTGCTCCTAGGACCACCATGAACAAAACAACTTGAGATGGAATCAAGTGCAAGGGAAAATTATAAAATCAGGAGATGCGGTAAACACAAGATGGGTGGGGCTACACATGGCAGATAGTCTCACGGCCAACTTATTTTCAGTAATGAGGAGGGGGAAACAAACAGTAGAACAATGTTAAAGCATATAGTATAGTAAACACATAGACCACTAATGTAGTTGATTTTTTACAATTTTCAAGTGCTATATACTAAAACAGTTATATGTGCTCTGCTTTTGTACACCTGACAGCTCAGTGGGCGTGTTCACACCAGCACCACCGCAAACACAGGGGGCATGTGCTGTGCTACATTCTGACAGCTGTGAGGGCACCAGGTGACAGGAATTTTTCAGCTGCATTAAAATGTTCTGGTAGCAGCATGGTATTTGTGACCTTCTATAGACTGAAACAGTGCAGGGAACGATTCGTGCTTACATGTGTCTGTTACAAACAGTTACATTCCCTGAAATAAAAATGTGTTTTAAACCCATGTGTAACTAAGACAGGGCAAGAACTTTAAAGCCAAGAAGGTGAAATTTTTCTTTTTTCTTTTTTAAATGATGCTATTGTCAAAAACAAAAGGGGGCAAAATAATGACTACCAAGTGAAGAAGTTCTTGTTTTCCAGAGGCATTTTTCACTAGCAATTATAAAAAAAAAAAAAAAAAAAAAAAAAAAAAACCGAAAAAAAAAAAAAAAAAAAAAAAAAAAAAAAAAAAAAAAAAAGATCCTGTCCTAAGCAGAAAACAGGTTTGGCCATAAAAGTAAGCCCCTGCCCTTGTAACTTCCAGATTTACAAACTCACAGGCCACTCACATCGTGTTAGTCATTGAAGTGGGGCAAGGTTTGGCTATGAAAGGCCTTTGCATTTTTTTTTTAGGTTCTATAGGAAGCAAGTATCTAGTGAAAGTGATTGTGTGGGTTCCAGTACGCTGCTTCAGCAGACAGTCCCTGCTTGAGTTCCCCTGTTTGCTGTCTGCGTTCCCAGGGAGTGTTGTTCCCAGAGAGCAAGTTGCCCCTTGCTCGATGACAGAGCTTAAACAATGTCAGAATGGTGCGATGCTTAGTCATAAGATGTGGAAAGACCTTCATCTAGTGTCCTACACACTGATGCTCAGTGAAATCACCCTTTAAAAAGTCAAGCCCATTAAAGTTTTACATGTGCCATATGCAGAAGGCCAGTGGCTTCTGGGAACATGAGAAAGGTATAGATCTGCATCTTGTCTGTCTTCATGTCATCAGAACTCCTTTTGTTTGAATTATTATATTTAAACCTGGACTATGAGCGTAGGGTTAGAAAGTCTCAGCAAGGCCCACAGAATAACTCACCTGTACCAGTGTGCTATATCCTAGTGGCCCCAGTCCCACTGTTACTAAATATCCCTAGGCTCAGCATTTCTAGTAGTTCCCTCCAGACCCTAGGCATGGAGGCCCGTGTGGCTTTGGTTACCACATAGAGCCATCTACTGGCTGGACCCACTTAGAAGTTGGGGTAAGAATTTCCCAAGGTCTTCATATATTTCCTTACACACAGTTAATGCAACTCTGGGAGTGGCTGTTTGCTCAAGATTTTCCCAGTTCTTCCCATAACCTCTCCCAGCTTGTTCTTTGGAACAGCTTCTTTTCACGTCAAGCTTAACTTTTGTGTGTCTTTAACAGGTCAATTCAAAGATGCCAAGGAAGGAGGAAGAGAAGCAGGGAGATGCATACGGACCTGCCTTTACCCTCACCCCATGCCTGGCATTCACGATCCCCTCTCTGTAGGTGTATGACTCTCCTAGCTAAAATGTACAATGCAGTTCATTACTCAAATTAATGTGCATTACAATAAAGAGCTCTTCAGACCTGATCTAATATACCTTGTCTTTGCCATGTCTTTGGTTAACTATGACTTAGTAAATCGAAGATGTTTTCATAATATAAGCATTTTCTTGTATTGGGTAATAAGAAATCTTAGTGTCGCTGGAACAGGGCTGCTTTCCAGCTCCATCCACCTTCCTACTCTGCCATTCTTGAAGTGTGAGGGTTACATCCTCAGGGTTTCAAGAGGGCTACTGCAATTCCAGGTGTTGCATCTATGTTCCAGGTAGGAAGAAGGGAGATGGAGAAAGGAAAAGTGGCAAAAGGTTGGAAAAGGGCAAGGGCACAGGCCACCTGAGTCTCTCCTCCTTGAAAAGCTCTCTGGACTCTCAGGCCTAAGGAATCCACGCACACCTCAGAGGCAGAGACAGCACTATGTCTCCCTCTGGTGCCCCATTCTCTAGCTTCTGTGTGGGAGGGAGAGGGGACAAATAGCTTTACGAAAACTTTGAATACGGTTGAGTTTCAATGAAGACAGGATTATTTGTGGGCAGGATGTCCTTATATTTAAGCTTGTCTGGGACATTTCCAGCTAAGTCCTGTTTTCCTGGTCAGATTGCTGATAGTACCACCCCACCCCAAACTTCTTATTATGAGAAATTTCACGGCATCAAGAAGAAGGTGGATTTTGTAGGAATAGTGGGATACCCATTACTTAGATTCTGTTATTCACAATTGACTGCACTACACTTGCCTTAGCTTATTTCTCTTCATCCACCAAACCACTTTATGTTTGGATGCGTTTCAGAGTACATTACAGAAACAGTACAATTCTCCTTAGTTAAATAATTAACTGGAGCTCTATATTTGCTTGTGAAGCTTTTCCTTTTGGAGTAAAATTACCATAAAATCAAATGGACACCCTAAGTGTTTTTGCTAACTGCTGATAAATGTGTAACCCAAAGTTGTATGAAGACAAAACATTTTAATCACCCCAGGACCCCCTCTCCATCCCTTACCTGTCAGTCTGTTTTCCCAACACCCAAAAAACCCACTCTTCTGATTTTCTCCAACGTAGGTTATTTTGTCTGTCATAGAATTTGGGATGGATGAAGTCATGCAGAAGATATAACTTTGGGAAAGGCTTATTTTACTCAGCATGCTTTTGAAAGCTATCCATGTTTTTGCATGTATCATTGCAGAAACATATTTTTTTCTTTTGCTCTTTCTATAAGAACCCAAGAAATTTGGATCCAAGTTGAATTCGAATCACCTGTTTTCCAGGCTGACTTAAAATGTCTCTCCAAAGACCTTGAAACTCCCAGAGAAATGCTGCTCTCTTCAGTGGCAAAGAATGCAAACTCCTGGAAATAAAGATGGGTTTGGTTCTTTGTTTCACAGAAAGGAATTGGAACTTCTAAATAGCCCATTTTAAATTTAATGTCTCTCTAAGAGATATAAATTAACAGCACCAAAATATTATGGCCCTTTGAATGCTTCAGCCTGTGAATTATAAATTCAAGTTTGTTTAACCACTTGGAGGGGCTTAACTGTACTAGAAAGAGCCGTTAAATATTTTATGGTATCTAAATGTACTTGGGACAACAGGCACCATTCCTGCCCTCTGACACATTTTTGTTCAAGCGAGGAAGGGGACGACTGAGAATGCACATAAAAATATTCCCAGTTAACAGAAGTTGAAATGAATTAAGGACATAAAGAACACACATGTTTGCATTTAGACATGGTGTATGGCCAATTTTTTTCATGAAGAGAGCCTTATTACTTTTGCTCTAAGCGGTATTCTAAATGTTTGACATTTGACAAGGGGAATTTCCCTTCCCCTCTCTCCTTTCCCTACAGTATATATTAAACTAATTGCTTTATTTTAACAAGAGGAACCCTGTTTCCCTAACCAACCCTCAACCCCCAGCTTGACCTTCAACTCTGTGGCTCTTTGCTGGGAGATAATTGCTCTACCAGTGTGATTTAATGAGCTTTGGCTTTTGCGCATCAAGTCTCCTCCATCTTAGCTACATTTGTAACTCTCAAAGGGTCAGGTTCCCATCCTATATAATTCTTGGAGAGTCACATAACACTTAAATTTGGCCCAGTGTTTCCTTATCATTTACAATTTCCATAATACTCTCAGAGTCACAAAACTATCTCATGTTTCAGGGATGAACAATTTGCTGTGCTTTCCAAATAAAAATTCTCTAAAGAGTAAGGTAAGGCGCGCCAATAGGATTAAAACTGTCATGGGGAATTGTAAATAAAACTCAGGCTGTAACCTGCAGGATCCCGATTTGGACCTACCTTGACAAACATTCATTTCTTCAACCTCATCTCTGACATGCCTCATAAAAGAAGTAAATACATGTGAAAAAATGGCAAGGAAAGGAGGGATTGGTCTTCCTGTCATGGATGGGTAGGTGGATAAATGGATGGATGGATGGATGGGTGGATGGATGGATGGATGGGTGGATGGATGGGTGGGTGGATTTTTGGGTGCATGGATGGATGGATGAATGGATGATGGGTGGATAGATGCATGGATGATGGGTGGATGGATGGATGGGTGGGTGGATGGGTGGATGGATGGATGGGTGCATGGGTGGATGGATAAATGGATGATGGGTGGATGTATGGATCGATGGGTGGGTGGATGATGGATGGATGGGTGGATGGATAGAGTGATGATACGTGGACATATGGATGGATGGGTGGATGGAGAGATGAAGCCAGGTACCAAAGAACATTCTAATCCTGTCAGACTCAGGGCTCCTCTTCCCTGACCAGTTGTCTCTGACACAGCTGTCCTGATTCTATGGAATTTTACATGGGGAGCTAGGACATAGGCATTTCCTTCCCACATTCCTTTTGACTTTTGTCAGGTTCTTTGTCTCTTCAAGTTTCTTATAGTTCTTGCCATCCTTATTTTTTATCATATTACATTTACATGGGAGAAGTAGATCAGGTGGCCATTGGGGGATCTCTAGCTCTCTGAATTCTCCCTGTAATTTTAGTGTTATGTATGAGAAATTCCAGAATGCAAACACAGTCCCCATACCAGCCCTTACTGCTCTCCATCAACATTACCTCAACATTAATTCTCCTCCTCTCAAAGTGGACTGTCTTCATGTCATTCAAGCACCTGAAGACTCTGCTGTCAAGTTAGTGAAGCTAAAGGTTAGTCTTGTCTTTGAATATTAAATAGAATACGATGAATATTGGGCTTAAATTTCTGTTCTATCATCTCTCTTCCCTTTGGGCAAGTTATATATTCTGTGTTGATTGTCCTCATCTGCAAAATGAGAATAATACCACCTACCACACAGGATTTGCATGAAAAGCGAATGAATTAATATTTGGAAAGTGCCCAGAACAATATTGGATGAGTGGTGCATGCTACATACAGGTTAAAAAAGTGACTCAGAAGTTCAACCAGCAGCCAGGGAGAAATTCATACTCCTCACACTTTTGGTGTGCAAGGCAATGAGTAAGGTACAGAAATGACACTGACAGGGTAGATATATTTTTAGAAATTGTTGTGACTTTTGGATCTTCTTGCTTTTCAAAATAGCTGCCCCTTGACTTACTGAGGCCTTAAATTCCACAGTCACTGCCTGTTATGTCTTTGATGTCTGCCAGATGTGGTCTTTCTCCTCTGCTGGAACACCCTGAAAACATTGCAAGCTTCTCTGGTCATTTTTATTCCTCTGGCAAGTGTATCAGATCCTTCCTGAGGGCTAATGTATTTGCAAGGATTGGAAAAGACAAATAAGCCAAGAGAATGTTGGGTGCCTCCTGGCACACAAAAGATAAGAAAGAAGCAGGGAGATCAGGAGCCTTGCTTGGGGATGGCCACATCCCGGGAGCAGGTGCAACAGGGAGCTGCCCTTTCTTTTGCAAGCCTGGGTGTCAGAGCAGTTGGAATCTCAGCTTAGCCCCTTTCTAGTTGGATGCTTTTGGGAAGGATCCTAACACTGAGCCCCAAACCTCCAATTTCTGATCTGCAGAGGCAGTGATCTGGTCTCAGAGGCTGTAGTAGGAATAAAGTATATCCAGTTGTTGGAAATGCTTGGGAGTGTCTCCACATAGTGTCCACTCTGGACATGGTGTGAACCATTGCTCATTCGGGGATTTTAAATAATCTGCAATTCAAGGTTCATTTTTTACTCTCAGGTGGCATTTGGCAATGAAAAAAAAATAGCACTTTAGCCAGGCATGGTGGCACACACCTGTAATCCCAGCACTCAAGAGGCTGAGGCAGGAGGATCGCTGTGAGTTCGAGACCAGCCTGGGCTACATATTGAGTTCCAGGTCAGTCTCAATTACCTAGTGAGACCTTGTCTCAAAAAACAAACACAAAAAAATAGCATTTTAAAAATAGTTACTTCAGAATCTAGAACTCTCAGGGGAAATTCTTAAAATTTAAAAAAAAAACACACATTTTTGATGAATCGTTCACTGCAGATATTTCCAAAGAAAATTATCAATAACTCACAACTTTGCTTTCGGTACTTCAGTATCCCGAAGAATATTTAAATTCATCTTAGTTACTGACTCAGACCATTATGATTCTCTGTACTCACATTAGAGAAACCAGTCGAAGTTCACAGCAGTCGCAGTTTTCCCAGCCATTGACACTGAGCACTCAGCTAGAGTGAGTGAGAAACCGAAAAGCCAACAGGTGGGGGGAAGTGTGTATATCTGAGACTTTCAGGACAAGCAGATTTGAATTTCACTTATTTGGTTCCTATCTGGTCTTTACCCTTAAGGGAGAAACTTGCTCTGTGGGAAGAGATTCCTAGAAATCTAGTTGCTTCCTCCTTGTCCATGGGAGATATGCTCCAACCCCCCGAGAAGCCTGAAACTATGGCTGGTACAGAGCCCCCAAACCAGACACTAGGTTTTTCTATACATTCATACCTATGATGCATTTTAAATTATAAAGCAGACAGCATGAGATGTTAACAATAGTAACTAATTATAAAATAGACTATTATAATATATTGTAATAAAAGTCATTTAA